TGGCTACACCGGTTATTATTATACAGGATTTATATAGCGCCAACAGTTTTTGTAGAGCTTTACAAAATAGGGGCCAGTTCATCATGTAGCATTGTGCTAAAGGCACCACCATGCACCCCCAGCGGGCGGGCATGCACTGTGTTGCGGTGAAAAAAGTAGTGCACGTATTAATTTTTGCACCGCATTACAAGGTATTGCAGTAGCATGCCTTTAGCGCAACACTAGGGTGTGAACTAACTCTACATGGAGACAGTACAGGTACAATGCTATTCAATACAGGAGGGTTAGGAGGGCCCTGATCCCAAGAGCTTACAATCTAAGATGTCATTGCATTTCCAAATTCCCGCAGCTGCCTTAACAAGCGACATGGAGGGACTAAGAGGACCTGTCTACTGCTCCACTCAACCACCCAATCAGTGAACACGATGGATGGGTGCTGGGCTGGTTGGACTGCGGGGTCCAGGACAGGGAACTGAAGGTGCAAACTGCTGAAGATGAACGGACCTCGGAGTAGAAAGTAGACGGATGGAGCCTCATGGTACAGAGAAGAGGGAAGAATGTGACATCTGAGTCTTTACAAAAAGCAGAACATTTTAATAATTCCCCCATAAAATTTTTAAAAATTCAACCGAAAACGGAGAATGTAGAAAAAGAAACATAATACCTAAAGATTCTCACAATCTCTTTCTTTTGAAATGTACCACTTCCTGCAAGGATAAGGTTCAGTGCCGTCACTCACCCTAAGAGCAACCCATCTCTCCCGGATGAGTCTGATAAGATTATTTCCCTGTTTTTGTTTTGGTTAAAAAAGAAAAAAAAAGTTTGAAGAGTTTTTTCAGGAAAAAGATCCATTACGGTTTCCCCCAGCGAGGTGACAACGTGACATCCTGCACAAAGGACTCTGATCTCCCATCCCCCACGGTCTTAGTTACTCTGCATCTGCATAATAATAGGACGCGGTTTGTTTGTACCCCGTGTGTGCGGACACTGACCAATACAAGTGACAGGTACAGAAAGAAGAAGATACAATCACACCCGGAGTCCTCTGGAGCAGCGGACCTCATGGACCACTAAATTCATCATTTTAAATCCAATAATATGAATTTTTTTTAAATATATATATATTCTCATATTTTTTGTTTCCTCATATATAAATATATTCTGCACGGCATCAGAGGGGCACGGGGACCACCGAAATTTTCTCGCGGACCACCGGTTGGCGACCGCTGCTCTGGAGGGCAACTGTATCGCCGGCTGCCCCCGGAGCCAGGTGTCACAAATCATTTATTAGTAACAATAAAACATTATAACATAACTTCCTAAACTTTAGTGAGTTGTGTTCCGTCATAAAAACCCTTGTAGGGTCCATGTGCACAAACCGGGCACACATACCTGCGTGCAACCTAACATGATGACCCCAAAGATCACTAATGAGATAATAGGACGCTCCACCTTTCCATGTTTCATGTTACATCAATATTTAGGAAGTAAGCATGGTCACATTCCCCACCTCCCTTAATAACCTGAATTGTGGGGTTCTCTTCCCCGCAGGCTTCTGTTTGGGTTTTAATTTATGGCTCCACCCACACAGTTGTGTCATCCATTGAAAGATCGATTCATAGGCCCTGTGAATTAAAAGACTGCAAGTTCCATCTGCCACCGCATGAAAAGGGATTTATAGACGTCAATGGAGCACAAGCAGGGCGATGTGACCACACATGTACTCCATCAATTACCCGATCCCGGAGTAGTGGCCGGTTCCATGGCTGTGGGATGTCCCTTTGGCGTCCTCGCGTCTAATGCAAGTGAATGGACCGACATTAGATTTAGAGGGGGGGCTGGG